GGACTGGGTTTTCTCGTCTGGATACAGAGGGACTGGACTTTCTCTTCTAGAAGCAGAGGGACTGGGTTTTCTCTTCTAGAAGCAGAGGGACTGGGCTTTCTCCTCTGGAGGCAGAGGGACCGGGCTTTCTCCTCTGGAGGCAGAGGGACTGGGCTTTCTCCTCTGGAGGCAGAGGGACTGCGTTTTCTACTCCCTGCTTGTTCATCACATGAAAAGATGGTCAATGCCATACTGTATATGACATGCAGAGCCTGGTTACCAATCTATCACAAGGGAACAGATGACACATGATAGATTTATACCAGAGAATACCATTTGTAGAATGTGGCTGGGTCATCTGGAACGAGGTGGAATGATTCCCAGGGTACACTACTAAGGGAAAAGAGGCAGATGTGAACCAGTGGTTGTAGAGCACTCTGAGGAGGAAGAAAGAGACACATGCATGCGTGCTTACATGGGCACAGACTAATTTTAGAAGTGAACCTGAAAATCTGGTACCTAGGGCTGCTTTTGGGGAGAGAGATCAAAGGACTGGGGATCCAGACGTGGGAGAAAGAGTTATTTTTCACTGTACACCTTTTCATACTATTTGAATATATCATCCTTTTAAACTACTTTAATGAAAAAGGAAAAAGAAAGAGCTCGTACATTTTAGACCACTATTTTCATCTCGTCTAGCCAATCAATAGAGATATAAAAAAAGGACTGTACTCACACAAAATGAAATAGCTATTTATTAGCAGAGGATAGTAGGATTCTGGGGGCCTTTTTCTCTCTGAAGAAATAATCTATACTGTTAATAATGTTGTAACACTGGTTTAACAATAAAAAGCACTGTAAATAAAACACTACTAAGGAAAACCCCCAACACACACCTCACTGCTCAAAAGGGAAGAGACTGATAACCTTGAGGGCTGCTGTCGTGTGGAGAAAAAGACCATGCGATGCGGGCTGAGCAAGAGTAAAGATGGTTATGCCTGGCCTGACTGGACTTCAAAGGCATCTATCAGAAGGTAAACTTATGACCCAGCAATTCTGAGTGCAGGAATTTGTCCTAATAGAACAAAGTATGCAAGCTACGAATATACGGATAATGTTCATTTGCAGAATTATTTGTAATAGCAAAACAGTGCCCAACACTAAGGGTTAAAATATGGGACACGGCCATAGAATGGAATGCTCCAGAGCCATGAAAAATGAGGATCTTGCCCTACAACTGATGTGTTAGAAAAATAACCAAACTGTTAACAGTGGCTTTCTCTGTTGGAGGGATTAAAGGTGATTTTAATTTTGTTCTTTACAGCTTTCTGTCTTGTCTACTTTCACACATTAGTATATAAAAATAGAACCATCTTGCTTAGTAGCCCAGGCAAATTGTGCTACAGGGGAAGAAAAAATGTCACATTTCCCAGGGGACGACAACAGTTTCTTACAACGTAAGCAACGTGTCCTCTGCATACGGCTGCTGTCACCATTTATGAAACCCACATTTTCTGGACACGATATGACCCAGCTATCTCACAGACTGTAAGATATAACCTAATTACCTTAACATGCACATTTGCTGAAAATATCTTGAAATATTAATTATCAGAATATAGTTCTAAGAGATGCACAAGTCAGAGGAACAATGAAGTGGTATTACACTAGGCCCTTATATGGCTTTTCAAAGGCATATTTTACTTCTTCCCAACTCTTCTTATTCCAAAAACATTCAGATCCATCTCCTTAGAGTATCTAGATCAGTGGTTCTCAACAGAGATGGGCAGGAGAGATTTTCCCCCGAGGGGACGTTTGGCAATATCTGGAGGCAATTTTGGCTGTCACAACTGAGGGGTACTACTGGCATTTAGTGCATGGAGGCCAGGGATGCTGCCAAACATCCTTCAATGCACAGGACAGCTCCGCACAACAAAGAATTATCTAGACCCAAATGTCAGCAGCGCCAAGTTTGAGGAACTCCAATCCAGATGAAAATACAGCACACAGAGGAAAGGTTTAGTTAACAGAACAACACAGAATGCCTCACCCCCACCTCCACTCCATCCTGCCAGTAGCCCAGCATCACGTGAAGTCAAGGTTACGGGAGAGCACAGCTTCAAGACACCTTCATAAACAGCAGGCTATGTTCAGGGGTCCTATTTTCAAATGTTAATTTATTCAAGTTCTACAACAAATGCAGAATAATATATACTAGTTAACAGTTAAAAGATTTGTTTTAAATGTGTCATTTTGAAACATAGCCAAGATATTAAAGATACAAGCTCTGCGTTAAAAGGTCTGGCTCAGAAGCACGTATTTCAGAAACCAATATGTGGTCCAGCTCGCCTGACCAGGCAGTGACTATATTAACAGGACGGCTGCTAAGAAGCTTTCCTATTATGCCTTTAATGATATGATCTATCTATTGTGCAGTTTCTTTTGTCTAAACCATCAGGGGTACAGATTTAATTTTAGTTAAGGCTGTAATATGGGAACCACAGTACCAAGGTGTATTAACATTTTTCAAAATAAAAAAAATTAAAGCTTCTCAAAAGAAGGGTCAAAAAGGGAAAAAAATCTCATTTAAGTGTGTCCATAAACGGCTCTCGACCTATAAATATTTATAGGCAATATGAGCAGAGGATCAAGCTTTTTAAGTAAAGGATCTTTATTTTTAAGTTTGGAGCATATGACATAATCCTGCTTTGGAAGCTGTATCATATTACTTGTTATTCCTAAAACACAACACAACAAAACTTGAAATGAGTCGATACTTGTATGTGTTTTTCGAGGAGGTGGAAAAATTAAGTTAGTTTTCAAATGCTAGTAAGCTTCACCAATATTTAGCATATTTGTTTTCCATAGTTTAGGTACAGCTTAACGGTTCTTTTAAGCAATAAAAGCTGCAGTTTTACGATGCTGGTGCAACACCCCGGCTGCTTTAATAGAGTACAAGATGAACATGTGCTTTTATTGGGTCAGTCTACACAAACCAAAGGAGATTCCCCCAAAGTCATCTGTGAGAGATTTCTACCTTCATATGAGAGAAAAGGCCACTTTTCTAATTATACTATTCTTCCCCAATATCAGGAAAAAGCTCACTACAAGAAGACAGAAGGGAATTTGGGGGCCTTCCCTCTGTTGGCGGTGGGGGCCCTGGGACACAAAATACAGGCAAGAAGTGTGTGCCAGGTCAGACATGGAGCTGACACTGCATGTCAGCATAGAACACTTGCAGGTAACGGCTTCCAGCTACAGTGTATACACACCCCGCCTGCTCTGAAGCCGGGACTCAACCAGCCAGAGCGCTCAGGCACGTCTCGGCGCTTCTTGCTGATCCCCACTGGCTTGGTTCTACGTCTGTGTAACTCATCCCTTGCTTCCTAGCACCATGAGAGCTTCGCCTCCACAAGCGACCTAGAAGACAGGCAGTTTCTCCCGAGCTGTTCACAGGGCATACTGTAGGAGGCTCCCCCTCTGCCTCGTCCAGGAGGAGCCCAAGGAGGATCTGGAGGGCAGTCCCGACCTGGCTTGTGACCTTAGACAAGTATTCATCTTTGAGAGACAGAGACGACTGCACCAACCACTAGTTCCTTAGCAAGATGTTAGGAAGACAAACAAATCTGGCACTGAAGCCCTAAGCAGAGACGCCCTGAGTCAACGCTAAGTCCACGGCCCACGGCCCTCAGCCCCGGACCTGCAGGCCCTGCTCTCCTCGGACCCCTTGCCAGCCCGAGCAAAAGACCGCAGGGTCTCAATGCCAAGTGGGCTCAGGTTCCCGGGCTGTTCTCAGCAGGACTCACCTTGAGGAGGGGCATGGCAGCGCGACACCGGGCCGTCTTACTGTTTTTGAGGAAGTGAGATTCATCCTGAAAAGAAGCAGTCATGCAGGTGAACAAGGGCAAGTCCTGAGTGGATGGAGCAGAGCCCACGTGGAGCTGGACCCCGGCACAGCATCGCGTCGAGGACGCCTCCCTCAGATCGTTCACTCCAGGGACAGCTGTGGGCCCGGGGAAGGACCCAGGTCCTGGTGCAGCTTCTCCGCTACGCTCTGGGCAAGTCGCTCCACCTCTCTGGGACAGTTTTCCACCTATAAGGCGGGGTTAGTGACTCCCCCGTCCTGCCCACCTCAAGATTGTACTGAAAAACCGCCGAGAGGTAGTTTGCTGCTTTGTCAGATGCATGTCACGTCTGCATGTGCTGAAGACCCACTGTGTGCCCGGGGCACGAGGCACTGGCACCCAGCCCCTGCCCAGGGACTCGCAGGGCAGGAAGGACGGCAGCCACACTGACAACTCATCAGACGATGCTATGAGAGCTGTCACTGAGGTGGGCGTGACAAAGTACTGTGGGAACCTGGAGAAGGGAAGGAGGTGTGGTTCCTGTCCTCAAGGGACGGACTGTCACGTTTAGAACGTGGAGTTTGATTATTTATAGCTCTATATTCTGTGCATAAGAAAACTAGAATATGTCATATTTTATCAGGTGACTAACTAGTACATTCTTAGTATTAGGGAGAAAATTTCTGTTTTGGTACACATTCAAATTACATGCCATGGAACTCTGAGCAACTTCATGACCTCCCTACGCTGCCAGTTTCTCCATCTGTATAATGGGCGTAACACCAGCATCAATGGGCTAACACACATAAACCCTTGGAACAGTCCTGTCACTTAGTGAGCACTCACTGGTATAGTCGCCCTCTGATGGGGATACCCAGGACATCCCGGCACTGTCCCTGAAGAGGATCTGTGAGAACCCCCTGTTCCATTTCAGCTACGATGAACCAAACAGGACCTCAAAAGCACTATGGAGGGGAGTGCGAGATGAACCCCCAAATGTCACAATGTCTATTCCCAGAAACCTAGGGTGTGACACTTGTGCTCCTGTCTCAAGAGCCTGTGTGACAGGCAAGAAAAAGGAGTTTATAGAAAGAAACAGCAGAAAGTACAGAGGGCATGGAAGGAAATGGACCCTTTCAATCAATGGGTAAAAATGTACAACTGTTATAATTAACCATGATTATAACTAGCCACTGTTAACTAACCACTGTGATAAGCAGCCACAAGGAATGGCTTGTATCTGAAGTCTCTTCTAAGAAGTGTGGCACCTCAGAGCCGTCACTTTACTTCTTCCTACAACATCTCTCTGAAGTCAGAAGGGGACAGGGCTCTTTCTTAACTGAAAAACAAACCGACAGGGGTGGAAGCAGCTTGTCAAAAATCATATGGCAAGTTAAGTGTTGAGCCAGAAATAGAAAAACATGAATTCTGAAGCAAGATGCTACCCAGCTTTGATCAACGACTCTCCGTCTTGCTAGCTTCAGGCGCATGAGCAAATTACGTAACCTCTCTCATCGTCAGTCTCATCAGCTGTGAAGTGGGGACATTATCCGCCTTAATGACTACATATAAAGGACCTGATACAGGAGAGCCCTCAGGCAGTGAGGGCGTGACTTCTCCTACACACTGCAGGACCATCGCCATCACCCTGGGATACTTCTCTTAGCTTTCATTTTGCATGGATGCTAACAAAGCCACACCTGAATCTGTGCCAAACCAGAAATGACTCCCCCAAAGACTCATTACCCGTATAGCTGTGAAAAAATATAAACATTTAAGTTTGCTTATGCTAAGAACACAGTATGGTTCTCACGTCCAAAACATAGTAATAGAGCCCTGAGGTCTGCAACTGTGTCTTCTCCTTCCCTTCTCTGAGCTCCCACAATCGTGGGCTCACACGTTTATGAAAGCACTGAGATGTATTCTAATGATCTGCGTGTGTGTGTGCGTGTGTCTGTCCTACTGGACTGTGGTTCCATGGAGGATGGGGCTGACTTTCCTCCTTCCACGCCCTCAGTGCACAGCACTGGGCAGGGCGCTGAGCTGGTTCTCATCCTGTTAGATGAACACAGAGATGAACGTGCCTCCCACAGCAGTCAGCCCTGTGCTGGGAACGGCCGGGCACGGAGTCTCCATCATAATCTTGTTGACTTGCATGGCTCAGAGCCTTTACTCTTCTGGGCCTCCTAAAAACTCTTTCCTTACTCTCCCTCTAGATAAGAAATACACTCCAATTTTGAGCACCAAGATTTGGGAAGCCACAGTCAACAGAGAGTTTTATTTTTAAGAAGAGGAAAATACCACTGGCTTTAAAAACTCACATGTTTGAATAAAGAAGAACCTTTCACATCATCTAGAGGCATCAGGTTCTTTCTTTTGCCAAGAGGAAAAACGAGGGTTAACTTCCATTGGAAATCACCCACCACTCGCTTCACCTCTGCGTGTCCCCGAGGGGTCACTGGGTTGGGGTGGAACTGGATGGATGGGGCAGGGTGGGAGAAACTGCACACCCTGTCATAATGTTTATTTGTGAGCCACTGGACACACTGAGTGCTGACAGACACCAAGTCTCTCTAGACCTTCCTTATGAAGGACGTGAGGAGTTCAAAGAAGGGCCGGTCACTGAAAGACGTGCAGTCACATCGTTAAACAAACACCTAAATTAAAAAGTGCTTTTTTGGGGGAGGTAGTGTCTGTATATTGGCTGGAGGAGACTTTATTAACTGTCTGAACTGTATGTCTAAGCCATCCGAACAGGGGGCAGCAGATGAAGGCACACGCCCTTGCTGTCCAGGCTGTAGTTCCGGGAGCCCTGGGCGGTCTGGAGTCCACACACTGGCCTCCCTCCATGACCTCACATGGTGAGAAATGGCCTAGAACCCCCCAGCACAGACCTAGTAAATCACATCTTTCAAAAGGCTCCCCAGGAGATTCCAACAAGTGGCCAGGGTTGAGAACTACTATTTGAGAAAAACGTCAGCTCCCCAGAAAATAAAGACAGTGACTTCTATGCTCCCAGAAGCCGAGCGAGGCTCCATGAGAGTACAGATAGGACAGTTCTTAGAGGTTCTGAGAAGAAAGTTTCCACAGAGACAAAGTACATAAAGACTTTGCCAAGTCACTTACAATGATGACAACTTTAAAAGGAATTTTTAGCTGTTTCAGCTGTTTTTCCAACTTGCTCAGAAGGTCAAAACTGACAATGTTGACCAAGCCAGCTGTCAGGCAGTCCTTGCCGGTCACCACGACATTGATGCGGTCTGGGCTCAGGGACGGTAGCCACTGAAGGAAGGCCTGGGGATGACAGGGGAGAACAAAACTGAAATGACGATTCGGCCCAGCAGCTGTCAGCTATGACCCCAGCCACCCTCAACTGCACTCTCTCCATGTGGACCAGAGTTAATGCTCCCTGAAAAACAAACTGGGCCTCTTTCCTTCCACATCCTCCTGCACCTGCTGGGACCCTCATCCCCCTGAAGAGCGACCATCTCCATCCACTCCCCGCCACTCTGCACCAACAGGACACCTCCCGCCTTCGTGAGCAAGTGCCTGCTGGCAGTCACCTTGTGGGGTCTGTGATTTCACTTCTATGATCTCTAACTAGATGGCAAGTTTCTGCAGAGAAAGAATGTGACTCCTTTTAAGAGGAATTCTATAAAGGAATTTTTAGCAGAGCCTGGTACACCGAAGGCACTGATGATGATAAAAATATTTATGTCAGAATTTCTACAAAGCCACGTGCTCCCTCCAGAAATCTTACCATCTCTAGTCAAAGCCAGTGGAGCCAATGGAAGGCCACCAGGTGCCTCCGTGTCAGTGGCTGGTGTCTGGTGTTCCCCTGGTTGACACTATTCTTATATCAGAGGGCTGGTGCTTTCAGCCATCTGACCACCTGGCTATTCTCTAGACTTCTGAGGGTGTGTGGGAATCTAACACACACAATAAATATGTGTTGAATTGTTAGTTCCTAGAGGCACTGACAGAAGTCAGAGAACAAGGATGGGAAAGAATGAGTGTTGTTTTCATGCACATTCTCCAAGTTTTGCTCTCTCTTCACTGGCAGGGAATGTCTGGGCATCAGGCTGACGGGCTGTACGCAGGGCTGCCTCTTCTCCTTGAGTGGCTCCCAGGCACTCAGTAAGAAGTCAAATCGTGAGGAGGCTGACAGCCACCACGAGCAGCATAAAGCTGGGAAAAGCTACGGACCATGGGCGAGGTCTTCCTCCTTCAATGCATTTGCTCATGTGGATTTTTATTCATTTCACAGACGCACTCTGATCCCTGGATTTATGGTGGACAAAGCTCAGGGCTGAGGGATAACACAATGTTCACGTCAGCTCCTTCAGCCATACAGGTGCCCGGTACACAGTGACTATCCTGCCCACAGCCCCTTCCCCAGGGGAAAAGCCCTAAGCCAAGAAGTCAGGAGATGTCACTTCAAGGTCCTACGCTGCTCCTCACTGCAGTAAGCGTGGTGCTTAACCCCTCTGAGATTCAGTTTTCTGGTCTGTAAATGAGGTTAATGTCTATCGTGTCTACCCCACGTGGCTGTTAGGGGATTAAGGGAAATAAAGGAGGTAAAAATACTGTGACGCTCAAGTGTGGTCCAGATGAAAGGTGTTATTAGCAGGGGCACGAGAGGGGCTCAGGAAGGTCTACTGATGGACAGAGGCAAGTCTGAGCTCGCTCACTCCTTGGCTTTCTTCCCTAAAGGCATAAGCATGGGCCTGGCCTCAGGAGGCCATTGCATCTCCCTTCCTGCCTTCAGCTGAGACAGGATCTTACAGCTCCCCAGGCCCTGTCCCCAGGCTGCTACTTCATTGCTCTAACACCGAGGAGAAGCTTCTTGGTTGAAATCGCAGCACGAAGAGAACTGACCTGCTCCCAGGTGAAGCGCACGGAGGATGGTACCACCACCAGGAGGGGCCATTCCTTCCGGTAAAAGGCCGCTATGCAGATGGCTTGGATGGTCTTCCCCAGGCCCATGTCATCGGCAAGGAGCAGGCGGCCTCCCTTGGCTATGGCAGAGCTGAGAGCAGAGCAGGTGAGGACGGCAGAACAGCCGGGGGCCTCAGTTAACCCGCCACCACGCTGCCACGGAAGGGACACGCACAGCCCCGTGTGGGCTACCGCGCTCACCAGCACGGGCCCTGCTCACAAGAAGAGACCCGTCCCCAGAGAGGGCAGACAGAGGCCAATCAAGGGGCAGAATAATAATTAAACAAAAAAAGAGTCAAAATAGGGGAAAATGTGAAATGGTTGACAGGTAGGAAAAAGCTCTAGAAGGTGATTAGGTCATGGAAGCCAAGGCGGGAAGTTTCCAACAAGAGGAGTCATCCTCAGCCTTTGCAGGTGAGGCCCCGGGGATGCGAGAGGAGGACAGTGGGAGAGAGGCCCACCGGGGGGCTAGGAGGGGCACTCCTGTTCACGAGACAGGTCTGCCTAGAAGGAAGAGGAGACAGCGGGGTCACGTAAGGCTTTCTGAAGATCAGAGAGGATGCCATATGCATAAAAGCAAACGGAAGGAGCTAGCAAAGACAGAAGGTGCTGGAGAAGAGGAGGGTGGCCAGAGGGGGGGACAGGCGATTGCCTAAGAGGGGCACCAGCCTTAGCAAGTGTCTCATTAACCAGCAGTCTCCCAGGTCCCAAAGCCCTCTGGTGCAACAACCTTAGCTCAGTTTGTGAATGAGGGCGCATTCCACTCTTGGGGAGCCCGACCGGCTCGGCTGGAATCCCGCCTCCACCACTTAGCAGCTGTATACCTCTATGCAAGTTATGTAACCTCCTCGTGCCTCAGCCCCAGGATGGGAATTATCTAGCACCTCCCCAGAGACTGTTGCAAGGATTAATAAAGTTAATGTGTAAGGCACTTAATACAGCACCTGGCACCATCTTAAATGCTAGTTAGTGTTTCTCTTATAACTATTATTCCACAAAAAGAAGAAAAATAATCAAGACACAAACAGTAAAATGACTTGCTCAAGTCACAAGCTGAATCAACGAAAAGCTAAAAGGATCTGAGCACCAGATGCCCGGTCTCCTGCCCCAGACCCAGTCCTCTTCCATCTGAATCCTGAAAAACTCATCATTTGCTCAGAAACCTGGTAATAATCCAGTCGACTCACTCTTCTTTCCTTCTCACACAGTAAAGACAGACAATATAACCTCTTCTAATCAGCAGCTGGTTCGGCCGACAATTCCAGGCTGCACACAGCCTTTCTGAATAGCCTGGAAATAGCGTTTCCGCCCTCGGAAAGCCACTGCTCAATAAAGACGGAAAACTGAGCAGCAGACGTGCGGGTGGCATGAGGCTGGCACGCCCGGGCACAGCAGACAACAGGCACTTCCTTGTCCTCCCAGCAGCCACAACGGCCCACACAGTGAGAGGGAGCGTCCTTCCTGCATCCCCCCAGCCGTGGCCACCATATTCAGTGGGGAGACAGGGGGCCCAGCGGCGGGCCGCCACCTCACCTCTCCGAACAGGCCCAGCCTCCTCCCCAGGCACGCCTACCTCCACTGAATCTTCCCGACTGTTTCTGGGATCATCTCATGACACAGACAGAGGAGGGGAGGGCAAGAGTGAAAAGACTTATTTTTTACCTCACTTGCTGATTTACAAAATTGGTGGCCAGGGCAGACAGGGCACCCAAGCAACAAAGCATGGAGGGCCTTTTGTTGCAGCCTCCTTGGCACCACCATTTACAACGTCCACAGGGTTTCGTCCATCTGGTCATTCTCAAAGCGGAACGGACCCCTGAATTTCACAGTCTTTTCTTTTTCCCTGCCTCGAGGTACCCCAACCAAGGAACAAAGTGGCCAAACATGAGAACAAAGCAAAGAAAGCACCTGGGTAGCAAAGAAATAATCACAGAGCTGAAAGCCGTCCCCTGCAGGATAGTTTGGAATAACAGACAAAAATGCTGCACTCGTCATCAGAAAACAGGGATTTCAGCCCCAATTCCACTTTTGCAAGCTGAGTGACTTTATGCAGATGACTGCCTTTCTGAGCCTAGACTCAACCATCTGTTGAAAGGGACCATTTAGGGGCCGGCCCCGTGGCTTAGTGGTTAAGTGCGTGCGCTCCACTGCCGGCGGCTCGGGTTCGGATCCCGGGTGCGCACCGAGGCACCACTCCTCCAGCCATGCTGAGGCCGCGTCCCACATACAGCAACTAGAAGGATGTGCAGCTATGACAGACAACTATGTACTGGGGCTTTGGGGAAAAATAAATAAATAAAATCTTTAAAAAAAAAAGAAAGGGACCATTTAGATATTAGAGGGAGCTGACACATGAACGAGAGTTTTTCTCCACAAGTTTGAGTTTTCCATTGTAGTTCTCACATAAAAAACAAAACAAAAAAACCACGGAATTGCCAGCCCTCCTCCCCCAACACCCAACCCCTCCTCTTCAGAGAATGCAAGTTAACAGCTGGGTTCAATTAGAAAGTTTTGAAGAAAGGCTGTGAGTACCATCAGCAGTTTCAGAGCCACAGAGGGAAGAGATGGAATCTGCTGGCCACACTCTGGCTTGGACGCACTGGGGCCCTGGGGAGCCTCGCACACAGTCCCTCAGTGGTGCCAGAGTTAACGGGCGCCTGAGGCCAGCACGCACCATGTGGGCCAAGGATCTCTACTGGAGCCACGAAGAACTTGGGTACTGAAGGCTGCCCAGGGGAAGGGGTGGGTGGTCCCTCTCAGTGTTAATGAAGGAGCCAGAGGAGAAAGATCAAAGGGGAAAACCGCCCTGATTCTGGGTAAACCGAGGCCCAAAGAACGTCGAACAGATGAAGGACTGACACGGCAAAGCGTGCTGTCTCAGAGAGACGGAAGCTGGAAGGGACAGGAAGATGGGGTGGGCAGAGCTGGGACCCTGGGAATGCAGTAAGGTGAGACTCTGCCCAAACCACACACAGAGTGACATCCTGTCCGAGACAGCCGAGCTGTAACCAAACGCCACGAGCGGGCAGCAGACAGGCAGGCTGTCTTCATCGGTCAGTTCCACCGACAAGTTAGTCCCTTCCCTTGCACAGGACTCCTCTCCAACCACAATGACTAATAACAGATCTAGATCTTATTATTTCTGAATGGACTATCGAGCCCTCCTCGACCTCCCGTATTTTCACTAGAAGGCAAGTTGAAACCTGTCATTTTGCTTCTCCCAAGAAACTCTGGGAAAAAAGGACAGGTTTCTCTTTTTTCTTTTTATAAAAAGAGCATCCTAGGGCCGGCCCAGTAGCTTAGTTTGCATGCTCTGCTTTGGTGGCCCAGGGTTCGCAGGTTCGGATCCTGGGTGTGGACCTACACACCGCTCATCAAGCCATGCTGTGGCGGCGTCCCACATACAAAATAAGAGGAGGATAGGTACAGATGTTAGCTCAGCCACAAGATGTTTGCTTCCTCAAGCAAAGAGAGGAAGATTGGCAACAGGTGTTAGCTCAGGGCCAATCTTCCTCACCAAAAAAAAAAGGCACCTTGACTTTCTTTTGGAAAACCACCACCTCGCACTCTCTGCTGAAGTAATCGAGTGGGGCAGGCCCCACCCTCTGGCTCCAGGGATGGGCCCATCACTTGGTCTTGCCAAGAAGACATCCACAGCCCCCAGGCCGAGGTGACTATTTCCGGTGTAGTCACCACATTTAAGGCATTGCTGTGTCAGACCCACTAGGAAAGAGGGGCTTCCGCTGGGTTGGTGAGCTGATGGCTGCAAGCCGAAGACCCTGGCAGGCCTCACGGCCACACCTGAGGAGCGCCTGGCTGAGAACAACGCAAACGAAGCAGCAGCAGAGCTGAGAGAGGGACAGAGTCCTGACGAGAGCTTTAGAGACCAGGTTTTCTATGACACGCACTGAGAAATCTCTTCTCTGAAACTAGTTTGGGTTGGGTTTCTGGACACCCGCCATTCAGAGTCCTGATTAACTCATGGAATTTGAAACCCAGTGGCTGCTATCGGGCTTTGCTAACAGCACAACTGGCTGTTTAACGCCTAGATGCTTCTAGATGTTCAGGAAAGATGAGTGTTCTTAAAAGGGGGGCATCTGAACCCGGTCAGTGGTAAGTGATGAAATCTGAGCAAGAGGCAGATAAAGAACCTACCTGACTCCAGTTCTCTGAAAGGGCAGCAGGTTAGACACGAGCTTGGGGTCTACTCCAGAGAGGTCGGCCTCAGGGATGTCCGCCGTGAGATGGAGAGACGTCTTCTCGAGCTGAGATGCGAACGCCAGGAGGAGTGTCTTGGGCAGAGGATCCAGCTGAACGTGTGGAAGGCCACGCACCCTTTCAACTAGAAAGAACAGAGACACAAGAATTGGAGTGTGACTGCCCAAGACATCTGGGGAAAGAAAAGGGGCGTCGAAATACAAAGTTCAGTGGCTTCTGCTGCATGCCATCTTCTCCAAAAAGAAACTGGAGAGAAAACGGGGGGCGGACAGATACACCCTGGGCAAAACACATAAACCTGGAGAACTAGTTTTCCCTCTCTCTTCCTTAATTTATGCAAAACGAGGACAATCAAGAATGCAAAATTAATCTTCTATACTACACAAACACTGGAAAGAACTGTAAACTGTTCTTGTGACCAATTTTTTTAACCTAAAGTAATTAAAAAATTATCTTAGTACTCCCATTCAAATAAATAAGGACCCATATTCTTAAAAAATCGGCCCAGAAAAAGCAAGACTTTGAATGAATATATCTTGTTTTGCTTCCATGCTCCTTCTGTTTGCTTTTGGTCTTGCTGTTTGAGAAGTCTGAGAACTCTAAGTTACCTGCTGTCAACAGGCAAGGAAGCACTGTGCTCCGTAGAGGAGCTGTCAGGTGCTTCCAGGAAAGATCAGCAAGACAGTAGTGCTGTTTACAAACAACAATAAAAAGGGCACAGTCCGCACAAAGGCCGCCAACTGATAAAAACACAAGTGGCCCTGCACACTTCTGACCCTTTCCATAGGGGATAGTGCCCTCCCGTTGAGAGGTGAGTTTATAGTAGTGATCTCCCTGGCGGAGCAGCCAGTGAGTCCATCAGCCTGGGGTGACCTGACAGCTCCCTCCCTACCCTCTAAAGCAGGTGTTGGCAAGCTAAGGCTTGGGGGCCAAATCGGCCTGCTGCCTGTTTCTGTCAATCAACTTTTGTTGGAACACAGCCATGACCGTCTACGGCTGCTTTCACACTGCAATGGCAGAGTCAAGTGGTTGGGACAGAGACCCGATGGTCCACAAAGCCTAAAATACTTACTATCTGGCCCTTTACAAAAGAAGTTTACCAACCCCTGCCAAGCTCAGAGTCTACACTATTACTAAGGGACCATTACTCTGACTCTTTCAATGAAAGCTTATACTTAACGGTCTTTCCTTCCCAGTGTGCTGGGTCCAGACCCCTACATAATGAATGGGAAATTCTTCTTCCAGCCAGAGCCATTAACCAAGTGGGAAAAACTACTTGGGATCCTCATGGAAACGAAAGCAAATTAATTTCATTGATTTGGGTTTTTGGAAGAAGTTAGCCTTACCTGATTTTAAAATTAAGAGGAAAAAAACTGTATTGGGGGAGCAGGAGAAGTTAAAAATTAAAAAGTCTGAGACAAGATGACAGACCTAGACGTCTCTGGTGGTAGAATTATCATTAAACTACTAATCACAGCCTGGTCTCCTATAGGTTGTAGCTTTTAAGATGTTCTTCCCTTTTATCATTGTCCTTTGAAAAATCTAATTAGAAGAGTAACCATTGTTTACAGATCTTCATTTGCTCTTTATCCCTTTACTCTTTCAGGGGCACCCTGGGAGAGTCACAGTAACTCAGCAAGGGGCTAATCGTCCTCAAGAATCCAGCAGAGGGAACCAAATAGAGAAACTGGGTATATTTCATTTCTACCTAATATTATTTGAAATCCTAAGGTTGTTAGTTCTCTATTCCATATGGTCATGTGTTTTCTAAATATCCTAACAAGGTATTCCAAGAGTCTTTCACCACAACCATCAACCAGATACCATGGCAAATAGTGATGTGAATATGGAGGGCTGAGCCATCTTCTGCTACCTTAAATTGCTTTGTATTCTCAATATATTTAAATCCATTTCTGTCCTTCACTAAATACATGTGCCAGCGATTTCTGGAAAGAGTCTGCATGAACAGAATCACCATGATAAGAAATTAGGTAAGGCTGACAGCTTTAATGTAAAGGAGACTGTCCACATGGATGCAGGAATACATTTTACGCCTCCAAATTAAACCTGAGCATGCTGGTTTCTGCACACTTCAGGAGACTGGGCACTCCTCGTGCTTTCAGAAACCAGTTTCACTTTAATCCTACGATCTTCAGAACTCAAACACCCGATGAAAGCTGAGAAATGGCTGACGGTCTGGCTGGGGTGAAATGTGGTACGTTGTGAGCATTATGTCCTTTCAGCCACTCAAGAGCAGAACAACCAACCTCCACTGTTCCCCTCCAACTATGTCTCCAAAACCCTATGCTGCCAGCCACGTGTGTTTCTGAGCAAGCCCCTGTGCTCTGTCAACGACTGTCGCTGCTGTCCTTTCCCCGTGTAGGGAGACAGCAGGATGTGCTGTCTGGCTTCATCAGTCATCTAGAAGTCGTTTCTGTAACACAGCTCTTTGGTAGAATGCTACTGAGCCACCCAGCCAAGAGATGTCCGTGTTTTCAAACAATAGCTGACAAGACAAGATCACTGAAGAGGATGCAGAATCCTTCTGGATTGTGACAGTCAGGGGAAAACAAAAGGTCTTACGCCAGTTTCACTGTGGGCAAAAGGCCTCAGGTCACTGGGAAAAGGGAGACGAGCAAAGCTCTTAGATTTGCCTTATCTGGAGAAAATAACTGTCACCACATCATCAACGAGCATTCATATCCTCAGAAGGTCTTGTTTTTTTTGGAAATTCTTTCCTTTTTTTTTTTTTTTGGGGGGGGGAGATTGGCCCTGAGCTAACATCTGTTGCCAATCTTCCTCTTTTTCTTTTTTCTCCCCAAAGTCCCAGTACATAGTTGTATATCATACTTGTAGATCCTTCTAGTACTTCTGTGTAGGACGCCACCTCAGCATGGCTTAATGAGCGGTGAGTAGGTAACTGGCGAACCCCAGGCCGCCAAAGCTCAGCACGCTAACCTAACCACTATACCACCGGGCCAGCCCCTCAGAAGGTCTTATTGTAATTTCTTAATTGGTTTCATATGCACATGTTCACGAGCTCAGGGTCAATAACCTAATCTCACACCTGAGGAATGAGACCTAGGGGAGAGGACAGAGATGCACATTCCCCAGGTTTGCAATCTGTTAATGGTGGAATCAGAACGAAACTGGGAACTGTGGTATTCTCCAGCGCCTTGTCTCCTCGGCCGCCTAGTTCACGGATCTGGCTTCTAAACGTCCACATGGGTCACGTTACAAACTCAAGATTGCAACTTTAGTCTGGTCTCTGTCACTGACTTTATTGTGACCCTGCAATGCTCCCAATAAGGAAAACAACTGTTTCCTTTCTCTGGGTCCAAGCTTTTCCCAATCTGTGAAATGGGGAGAAATCAGTCTTATCTTCCACAAGACATTGTAATGAGACAGAATGTAAACACGCAATCTCAACTCTAAATCTAGAATTCTTTTTTTTTTTTTGTGAGGAAGATCAGCCCTGAGCTAACATCCATGCCCATCTTCCTACACTTTATGTGGGACACCGCCACAGCATGGCCTGACAAGCGGTGCGTCGGTGTGCGCCCAGGATCCGAACCCGGGCCACCAGCAGTGGAGTGCACGCACCTAACTGCTACGCCACAGGGCCGGCCATAAATCTAGAATTCTTAACTCAAGATTCATGGAATTACTAATATCAAAAGCAAAATTTTATGTGTGGCCATTACATGCATTTTTCTGGGTGAAGAATCCATCATTTTCACCAGATATTTCAAAGAGTCTACTGCCCACAAAAGATCTGGAACCACAGTGTAACACTATGTGAGTGGCGAGTCATGATTTTTCAACATTACATTCACCTGCTAACACGGTAAGTACCATGCTTTTTGTCATTCCACAGAAGTCAAAGCCTTTATAGCTAACATAATTATACTGTGGCTTGTAATAATGTCTTTCTGTGGCTAAAGACAATGGAGTGAGAGGGAAAAACTCACCCCTATTGCTCATCAAAAATTCAGCTTTGGCCAAATAATTCCCTCTGAAGCCCAAGTTCTAAATAGCAGCAGCCATGGGGTCTCAGATCAACGCCGGTCATCCTTTCTGCTTCCGCCAGTGTTTGCTGATACTAAGTATCACATTCAAACCTAACCTTGAGCTTCCAGCAAGTCTTTCCTCAAGGAATCAACAGCTCTTCCCTTACATGTACTTTCTGTCAGTCGGGCAGATGGGGATTAAGGGCCCCTTGTGTTACCGAAGAGACAAAGGGGACACAGCATGTTGAGTTATCTACCCGGCATCACACAGCAGGTCACACGAGGAGGAGACAAAGGGAAGAAACCCAGCTTCCTTCTCTCTTCCTTAAAGCCCCTGCCTGGCGGCGAGACGGCCAATGACTTGGAGCTCCCTGGGCTAGATCAAGTCTCTCCTGGCCTGACTGGCACCAGCACCGGCTGGGAGGCCCAACAAGTCCTCAGGGGGTCAAGCAGGAGGCACAGAAGTTGTGCCAGCTGCACATCCACTGCAGAATCATGAGAGCTTGAAAGATGGACAGACTGGTGTTCAGGGCAGGCTGAGATGAGACCATGTCTCCTTTTCTCAGGCATGTTAGAATATACTGCCCCACCCAAGCAGAGCACAGAGAAGAGAAATGATAAGCCCAAACTGGCTTCTCCTTCTTGTAGTGATATCTCCCTTGGTCAGTCTCCAAAGTGCTTATTACACACTTACATGCCCTGGCCTAGGGTTCTGCATCTGCCACGACTCAGCCCATTATGAAGCCTGTGACCACGAGACACTCCAACCTTCTTTGTTCATCTGGTTCTGGAAGTAAACTGAGAGATGTTCCTAGAGGGGATCTAAAGCAGCTTCCATCTAAGCTAAGCAACCCCGGCTCGCCTCTGATCCCCAAAGTCCGCGTACCCTCACTTCTAACACTTCTACGAGGGGCAGGAAGGTTGCATGGGCCTCAGGAATTTGACCAGTACTGCTATACCCTGATGGAAGACAAGGCCCTGCGTTCGCTTGGCTGCTGCAAAGCTACCCTCCCAGTGGACAAGGACGCAGCTGCCCAAGAACAGCTTTACCTTCGCTTGTCCTGCATGCCAGCACGTGCAGTTACCGCAGCGGAGGGAGGAGAGTCTTTTAAAATACGTTAGATTGAAGGCAGATAATTAAAGCTTAACAATAGCACGATATAAAACAAGCAAGGTGGGCATCTCACTTAGTTTACTGTGCTCTTCCAAGAGAAAGTTCCACTTCTTGGTCTGGACATCTGCAATGAGAAGAAACAAGTGAGCACACGCGACCCCCTGCCCTCCTGCTACGTCATCACTTCCTCAGTCCCTGGCTTCATAAACCCCCAGCAAGCTCGGACAATGTGGCTGGTCCCGTGCCTGGCAGTGGGGACACAGAAATTGAGCGAGCGCCTGCCCTTGATGCTTTCTCAGAATTCAGGGAGGAGAGACAAGCAGACATAGTGCTAACAGTGGGTTGTAAGGGTGGAGATAAAGGGTGCTGCAGGGATTCATGACTGGGCGTGGCCCTGCAACTCAGAAATGCCCTACCCCTCAAGATAGGGAGAATAAGCGTAGCTTACATGTACTAAGTGCTTACTTTAAGCCAGGCACGGTGCCAACAGTGTCACATGCACCATCTCCTCTGCTCCTCACTATGCTATAAGCTGGACAGTATTATTAGCTCCTTTTCACACATGGGAAGCAAGCTGCACGTGGTCAGTGGTCAAACAGCCTACGTTCAAATCCCAGCTCTGCCACCTCCTAGCTGTGTGACCTTGGGCAAGTTATGTGACTTCTCTGTGCCTCAGTTCCCACGTTGGAAAAATGAGGATACTACAGCCCCTGTCTCCTAGGGTTCTTGTGAGGATTACATGAAATTTAAATGTAAAATGCTTGTGAAAATGTGCCTGACAAACAATGAACACTCAAAAAAAAAGTCAGTAATTGTAAACTATTGTTACTGTTATTACCATTATTAGGCTATCAGCCAATTAGTATAGTGTAGCATAAACTACGCACAATATTAACTAAGAAGGGTGAGCATCTCGCTTACCCAACACTGGCTAATTACTTAGAGACTTTGCCTACCCATCTACCTTCTGAAAAAAATCATGAAAGCTTCAACTTGATACATGTTCTCTGGACAGCAAAAGTTAATTCTTCTGGTCACTGGGGAAGCAAGGTGGTTGGGGACAAAGCATCATGGACACAGTGAGTCCACTTCAGGAAGAAATCAAGATAGTGCAGGTGTCATCCGGCACGAAGAGCAGAAGCAGACAGATTACTCTCGAGGTGGGACCAGTACAGGAGACTCTTCCCGACAACGGCTTGACCCTGACAGCAGCAGAGCAGCAGAGGGGGCAAGCCCGCCAACAGTAGCTATGGCAAAAAAATCCAATCGTGGTTTGGATGTCCGGGTGTGGGCAGGATTGGGGGTCAATGTTTTAGCTGTTCACATTCCCCAAACAGCAGACTATGTCAGGATTGTGATTTCGAAGGTCACGCTTTTCAGAAGACACAGGTCATCTGTGCTTGCCTTTTAAGGTCCACCCCAAGCTGAATGGAACATCTCAGGGGGCAGGAGACGCAAAGAACCCTGGTCCTCGTGTGAGCGGCTCGTCCCACGACTCAGGCTGGGCCCAGCGCATCTCACCTGAACCCTGCTCACCAGCCTGCTCTCACCAGTTACAACTCCATCCATCGAAGGGATAAAAATGCAACAGCCAGCATCACCCTCCTCCTGAAGGAGCCCCAAACCCTCAGGAGAGCTCTCACTGAGGAAGTCATTCTCCAGAGGCTTCTTCCATGACGCTGCCTGAACGTGAGGGCTCAAAGGCATGAGGTTTTAAGGGTTTGCTTTCTACTTGCCTAGGGAAAGGCTAAAACCATCTCAAGAATGGGAATACTAATCCATAAAAGCCACACCATTTTGTAAAACAACATGACCCAAGCTAAGAACGAAACCCAGGGATTCAAAATCCTAAAGCTAACTTCTGCCCCCAAAATAAAGCAAAACTGCTCTGCTTTGGCTAGTGGTTTCCAATCCTGGCTGATTATTAGACTCACTTGAAGATTTTTAAAAATACCACTCCCCAGACCACACCTTAAACCAATTAAATCAGTGTCTCGGGGCGCGACCCACGCATCAGTCTTTTCTGTAGGGATGGGGCCCAGCAATCTGGGTTTTAACAAGCCCTCCAGGTGGTTCTGATGCACGATCTAGTTTGAAAAGCTCTGCTAAGGACAAAATAAAAACAGATGGGTCTAAATGGCTGAAGCAGGAATCACCTGACCAGGTGACCGGGGACAATGTGGAGTTTTCTCTTTGGGGGGACTTTAAGGACAAAACTGGCCCCACTATGTGTTCACTGTCTAGAACAGTTTAGGCAACACCTTTCTAGAGAAAGAGGAGTAGATTAGAAAGTCATTTCTGAATGTTCAAAGAGAGAGAAAAACGCCCTACTCTGAGATCACAGACCACTATGCACCCTGGGAATCGGGCAGAGGCCAATTACTTGCCATAAATTCTGGACTCCATCTGTTTAAACAGCGCAATCAGGTCTTCCGAATAGCCGATGTCTGCCTCGAAGCGGGCCCGGGAGATGAGCACACATCGCCCTTTGACAAAGCCAAGGGAGGGGGCTGATGGGAGGCTGGTCTGTGCCACACTGCCCTCGCCTCTTTCCAGAGGCTGTAGGGTGACCTTGGGGATGCGCTGGGCTGCTTTCACTGCCGAAGAAGAAAAGGACAGAGGTGACCACGCGGACAACTTTCACAGGGCCCTGGGAGGTACATGCAGGGACAGGGTCAAGAGAAACTGCACTGGGCAGGTAGGCAAGAAAAGGCACCGTTAGGTTGGGAAGGCCCGTGAGTGTGCTTCCACTGGGGCTTCGTGAATTTCAGTATTTACCGAATGTAACTCTGCTGTTCCTTGAGTTTTAAAATTAAACAACTTAGAATTGAGAAATGAGCAGGGTGAAGAGGGATCTCACCAGGATGAGTAAACTTATTAGATAATTTCTTTTCCTGTGTCAGAGAAGCCCGAAGTCGGCATGCCAGAAATCACCCACTTACCCTCATTCCTGGGTCACTACTCTGTCTACGCTTGGAGAACAAGGGAAGAGACACAGGACCATCGGCCACAAATGCACGGTTTTGAACCTTATCTGTTACTGACGCATTTCATAGATTAATAGATTTGACTACATAAAACCAGACAGTCAAAAAACACAAACTGAACTGAAAGGCAAAACTATTAAATACAGATATTTGCAAGAAATCTAAACAGAGCTCATACTTAAAAAAAAATACTAAGACCAAAAAAGATAAGAAGAAAGAGATGTAACCAATTCAAAAGAGGGGGCAAAATTACTAATAAACATTTGCAGAAATGTTCAGCTTCACAAATAATCAGAGCAACAAAAAGCCATTTTTTACTTATCAAACTTGCACACACACAAAAAAAAACAAAACACAGATATTTGCATTGCTAGCTGGGAATAAAACCTTTTGGAAAACAATTTGACAACATATAGCAAGAGGCCTAAAAAGTGATCATAAGGATTCAACTTCTGGGACTCTAACCCAAGTAACAATTAAAAATACAAAAGCTGGAGGATAGAATTAGATGGAGGATAGAATACAGAAATGCTTCAGATGGAGGAGGAGAGAGAACTTAGACCAAAAAGAAATGAAGAAATTCTCCAGGAAATATCTGACTCAATTAGGAAATGTAACATAAGGATTATAGGTATTCTAGAGGGAGAAGTGGGGGAAAAAGGAGCAGAGAGCTCGTTCAAATAAATAATAACTGAAAACTTCCCAAATCTGGAGAAGGAGCTGGAATTACATGTAAAAGAAGCCAACAGAACTCCTAATTACATACCTTCTCCAGGGCACATATTAGTAAAGCTGGCAAAAGTCAATGACAAAGAAAAAATATTAGGGGCAGCAAGACAAAAGAAAATAACCTACAAAAGAAGCCCCATCAGGCTTTCAGCGGATTTTTCAGCAGAAACTTACAGGCGAGGAGAGAGTGGAATGATATATTGAAAATTATGAAAGACAAAAACTTTCAGCCAAGAATACTATATCCAGTGAAAATATCCTTCAGATATGATGGAGAAATAAAAACTTTCCGAGATAAACAAAAGCTGAGGGAGTTCATTGCCACAAGTCTCCCCATATAAGATTTGATCAAGAAGGCCCTCATACCTAAAAAAAACAAAGGATTTACAAAGCCTTGAGCCAGGGGATAGAAAAAATCAGAAAACTGCAACTCTCTACCAGAGGAGATTAGCATACACTTAATTATAATTCCAAAGATAAAGGAAAAGAAAACATCAAAAATAAATATTATCACTTCATCTTAACCACAAATTCACAACACATAACGGAATAAGTTGTGACAACACCAACTTAGAAGGGGAAGAGGAAAGCGATGAAACCTGCTTAGACTAGGGGAACAAGAGGCTATCAGGGAATGGACTATCTCACCTATGATATCTTTTATACAAACCGCACAGTAAACACTAAACAAACAATCAGAACAAAGACACAAATAATAAAGACAAAACTGAGAAAACCATCATAACGAGCCACCAAACCAAATTAGCAGTCCGAAATACACAGGATAAGAAACAAGGGAAATACATAACAACTGAAAAACAAGAGAGAAAATGGCAGCATTAAGCCCTCATATATCCATAATGACTCCAAATGTAAACAGACTGAATTGCCCAATCAAAAGACACAGAGTGGCTGGACGGATTAAAAAACAAGACCCAACAATTTGCTGCCTCCAGGAAACACATCTTGGCTCTAAAGACAAACACAGGCTTAGAGTAAGGGATGGAAGATGATACTGCAAGCTAATGGCAAACAAAAGAAAGCAGGTGTTGCCACACTTATATCAGACAAAGCAGACTTCAACATAAAACAGGTAATGAGAGACAAAGAGGAGCAATATATAATGATGAAAAGGACACTCCACCAAGAAGATGTATCACTTATAAATATATCTGCACCCAACACAGGAGCGCCAAAGTACATAAAGCAACTATTAACAAACCTGAAAGGAGATATTAACAGCAACACAATAGTAGGGGATCTTAACACCCCACTTATACCAATGGATAGATCATCCAGACAGACAGTCAATAAGGAAATAGTGGACTTACATGAAAAACTAGACCAGATGGACCAGATATATAAATAGCATTCTATCCAAACAGAGCAGAATGCACATTCTTCTCAAGCACACATGGAACATTCTCAAGGATAGACCGTATAATGGGAAACAAGGGAAGCCTCTATAAATTTAAGAAGATTGAAATCATAACAAGCATCTTCTCCGACCATAATGCTATGAAACTAGAAATCAACTATGAGAAACAAACTGGGAAAGTGACAAAGACATGGAGACTAAACAACACGCTACTGAACAACCAATGGATCACAGAAGAAATTAAAGAAGAAATCAAAGAATATCTAGCAACAAATGAAAATGAAAATACACCATACCAACTCATATGGGATGTAGCAAAAGCAGTCCTGAGAGGGAAATTCATAGCAATACAGGCCTACCTTAACAAACAAGAAAATTCCCAAATAAGCAATCTTAAGCGACACCTAACAGAATTAGAAAAAGAACAAACAAAGCCCAAAGTCAGCAGAAGGAGGGAAATAATAAAAATTAAAGCAGAAATGAATGAAATTGAAACCAAAAAAACAGTAGAAATGATCAATGAAACAAAGAGCTGGTTCTTTAAGAAGATAAATAAAGGGCCGGCCCCGTGGCTTGGTGGTTAAGTGCGCGCGCTCCGATGCTGGTGGCCCGGGTTCGGATCCCGGACGCGCACCGAGGCACCACTTC